CCCCAGAGCTCTCCCAGCCATGTCCTGGCCCACATCCCCTCTGATCCGGTCATCACCCTCCTGGTCAGCGAGGAAAAGGACTGGCCCTTGTCCATGGAGGAGACCCCCAAGACAGTATGCCCAGAGCGTCCAGTGCACAGAGATGCTGCACATCCCAGGGACATCCCCGCACAGCTCCACGTGAGGACTGCCCGAGGTCACTCATCCCAACATCATCTGTGGGCTGGGACACAGGGGAGCCTCTGCATCTCCTACCAGGAGGTGGGGGGGCGAGGAGGTGGAGACACAGCACAGAACACTGTGCGATAGTCAGAAGTCACGGACCAACCGTCCCCTCAGCCCCAGTTTGAAAGCCTAGCCCTGTGTGACAATAGGAAGAAAGGCCATCACCCTTTGTGTCCCTTCCCATCTCTGTGCCCTCAGCAACACATTTAAGTAAGATGTACATCAAACCTACCCAAATGGTTATCAGTGTGGGAGGCCACAGGGGTAGCTGGGGATCAGGCAGATGACAGAGAGACAGACAGACAGCAGGAAGTGGGGCCTTGCTTGGGCAGGGATGCCATGGGCTGTGGTCCTGGGCAGAAGTGTGATGCCCTGGACCCTCACGGGAGGCCCGAGCCCTCCTGTCTGACCCAGGTGTCCTTCCCTGTGATGGTGGGTCCGGGGCTCCCCTGCAGAGGCCCACCACAGGTGCCATTTATGCCTCCCACTTTCCTGGGCTTTCACAGTTCCCTTGGAAACAAGTGTCACACACTCGGTCCCACACCTGACGTCTGAACTATTAGAAAGAAAAGCAGAAAAAGGCCCAGGCCCTCCTCCACCTCTCCCACCTCCTGGTCCATCTCCTCCCTTCCAGTGACATTCAGGACCCTCCCCAGACACAGGGACCCTCGCCTGGTCCTCGTCTCCTGGTGTCTGGTTGGCCTGGTCTCGGGGACCAGGGGAGGCGGTGTGCACCTGAGAGGGAGGTCCCTCTGGAGACGGGTGCTGGCCCACCTGCCTGAGACTCGGGGTCACCCTGCTGTGGTTTCTTGAGGTCCAGAGCCCCAGAGAGAGCAGGCCGAGAATGTGAGGGTCTGGGATGGCCGGATACTCTTGTTCCGGGTCCCCTGAGGTCCGCACCAGTGAGCTTCTCTGGAAGAGTGGTGCACCCCCACGAAATCCCAGTCTCTGGCATTTTGTGATGTCAACGCCCCACGGTGGCTGACTCCAAGCTGCCGGCACAGCGTGTCCAGTTGGGAAGTTGGCTCTCGGGGGCCTGGTGGGCTGCCCGCCACTGCCCCTGACCTGCTGAGTGTGACGGGAAGGGACAGTTGGTGGGGACCCGCGAGGGCAAAGCCCTGCCTTTCTGAAGCACAGTTGCCAGTGTCCAGCGCTGGGCCACTTTGAGGTGGAGGGACTCTGACCAACACTCCACCTGAGGAAAGTGCGTAAGGGGTGGGGTGGCACCCTCAGGCCCCAGTGGGAAAAGCTGAGCTTTGCTCTCCTCTTAGTTCGAAGCCCGGGGGGACGTGACATTCCCGTAGGATTGTGGTTTAAATGGGATGGACCTCAGTGTGCAGGTGGGGACTTTCGTTCTCACAACCTGAAATGCAGAGGAAGGCTGCTGTTTTATGCAGATGAAGTTCTTTCTAGGGAGCCTTCCGGTTCAAGAGGAGGACAAAAGTCTGATTTTTCAAATAGGAATTCCCTGGTTTTTTGCCGGCGAATTAATTGCTTTCTGCCTTGTACTATTTACAGAACATGGGTGACAAGCTGAGTGGAAGGAAGGGGAAAAAAATCACTTAAAAAGAAGATTCTTTTTTTTTAATTACCCAAAGGAAACCATGTCACAAAGTGAGACGAGATGTGATCTGGCCTTAAAAAGAAGCAGACACGAATAATAATTGGCTGCCTTGTGCTGAAGCTGGGTAAGGAGTCTTGAGTAGGTGGAGGGCTGGCTGGAGGGGACCCAGGTGAGGCTTTCTAGAACATTCTAGAACCTTCTAGAATCTCTGTTCCTCAACTTATGCCCCGGCAGGCCTTTGCACTGGAGGCTCACTGTACGATTTGCTGGGATTCCAATAAAAATTGGAAACAGGTTGATGGACTTTCAATCGAAATTTTAAAATGTTTTCCATGGTCCATCCACAAAGCAGCCTGTTTAGTAACAACGATGGACGGACCCTGACGATGTTGTTATTTCTCCAAGAGAATCTTTCTAAGAGGCTGGTCGGGAATTGCTGGCTTGGTGGAGGCAGAAGAGGAGACCACCCCATTCTTGGGTCCTTCTTCCCGCCGGTGGCCAGATGAGGTCTAGACGGGGCCCCACGGAGGAACGTCCTTCCCTCGATCCTCTGATTCCCTCCTGAGGGTCCCACGCCGCTCATGGGAGCCATGTCGGGATCCAGTTGAGCGGGTTGTCCACTCTGTGGTGGGATGTTGGCCGAGGTGGTCAGTTAGAAGGGACAGCTGAGGCTCCACCTCCACCTCTGCCGCTGATTCTTCACTTCAGAGCTGGGCTGGGGAAGGGCTGCCTAGCCAGTCCACTGCCCAGCAGCGCCTTCTGTTTCGGTGGGCCCACCGGAGGCAGGCTGTATTTCCACCATGGTCATCAACGCCCTTCTGGTCTCACCTGAGCTTGTGGCTCTCCGGTCAGGAGGTGGAATCTACGTCTCTGCTTCTTGAATGGTATGGGGGGGGTCTTTATGGTGGGCTCAGTCACAGAGGGGATGCTGTGTGTCGTGTAGGACCAGGCAGGGGACACAGCCTCCACCTGGATGACAACCTCTGAGCATGGCCTCTTCTTCCATCTTGAGAGGCTGCCTTCCTCTCTTTGGGGGAGTGGGGGTACTAGGAACTCAAGGGGTACTAGTGGAACCCAGGGGCACTTGACCACTGAGCCACATCCCCAGCCCTATTTTGGATTTTATTTAGGGTCTCAGTGAGTTGCCTAGCATCTCACTTTTGCTGAGGCTGGCTTTGAACTTACGATCCTCCTGCCTCAGCCTCCCGAGCTGCTGGGTTACAGGTATGCGCCACGCGCCTGGTGAGGCTACCGTCCTGGTGGAGGGCCTTCCCCGTGGCTGAGGGATGGGTTAAAGGTTGAATGGGAGCTTGTGGCCCGGATGGAAGTGGTTCAAAGACTCCTGTGTGCATTCTGTGGTCCAGAACCTAGTCCTGAGGTCATACCCCCCTCAAGGGAGTTGGGAAGTGTCCTTGTGCGCCCAGAAAGAGGTGAACCTAGGGAACATCCGGTCTGTGTGTCCAGGATGTACCCTCCTCAAACCAGCTTCCTTGTCTTTAAGAAGAGGGAACATTTGGCTTGTTCACGTTGAGCCCCAGCTCTGAGCCAGGAGAGGTGCTTCATGACCGTCTGGAGAGGCCCTCAGTGATGGGACACATAGGTGAAACTTGGCCTTGTGGCCAGGGGTGGCAGACTGTTGGGTTGTCACTGTGTCCATGATCCCTCCCTGTGTCCCCCTCCTGAGAGAGGATCATACTTCCCCGTCTGCTGACATCACACTTGGCTCAGGGACGGAAATGGGAGCAGAGGTGACTCACTCTGTGTTGGAGCAGAAACTTTAAGAGCCATTTCCTCTGCCACGACCCCTTTCCCTCTGCTGTGAGATCATAATACTTTACATAAGGCTGCTCCTTCAGTCCTGTTCCCAAAATGAAGGACAGGGGAGAAAAACCACTGCTGGCCTGCACTCAGCAACAAAGGTAATGAGAAACCAACCTCCTTTTCCCTCTTCCTCTCTCTTTTCTTCCTTTTTTTCCTTCCTTCCCTTCCTACTGAGATTTTTGGGGGCTATTTGTTACTGCAGCATAACTCAACCTTTCCTGACTGCTACATCAGGAGACTCAGCAGTGCCCCCATCTGGCCTGTTAATCTCCTCAACATCGTCCTTAAGTGAGAAAGTGTCTTTGGACCTGACTCTCAAATCCCAGTGCTGAAACTCGGTGACCTGCATTGGACTTAACAGAGCATCAGGTTCAGGGATTTGCAATGGAAGGTCAATGGTTCATATCTTCCAGCAGGGGAGGTTACAATCTGAAAGAGACAGGATAGAGGCAGAGCATGGTGGCCATCCGTTCCTCAGAGTCCACTGTCCTGGACTCTAGGTCCAACTGTCCCTGGAGAGAGGAGGGAGCTGGCCCAGTCTTGGTCGGCTGCATCAGTGTGGAGGAGGAAGCCCACGGGAGGGTGGGCCAGGTCTGGCTCATTCTTCCCTGGATGGTTCCCACCTACTGCTTCCATTTAGTAGGGATTTACGTCAATGGAGAGAGGAGTCACCAGAAAGAGCCCTCTGATGCTCAGCCTCTGACCCACCACCAGCCAATAAAAAACTTCCAACTGGCCCTGGCATCCAGCCCTCCCCTTGCTGCCGAACCTCCACCTCTGGAGCACCCGACAAGGGCTGGGCTTTCACATTAAGGAAATTTCCCGAGTTTCCACCCCCAAAAGACTGTAGTGGAAACGGAGCAAAATCACATTTGCAAAACTGCCCCACAAATCACAGAACCGAATGTGTATGCCGGAGGGAAACGGAGGCCAACACCGGGGAGGTTGCTTCGGTCAGACCTTTCTTCTTCCTGGAAACCGGTTTCTCAGGGTGGTGCTAATTATGAGAGACAGGGGAGCCCTCCTTTCGCATCTGGAACGGGCTGGGAAACATTTTTCTCGTCCGCGGTTTCTAGGGCCCCAGCAGATGGAATCATTTATCTAAAAGTTCCTGCCATTAGCATCGAGTAAGCTCCATCTGATGCCTCTGGAGACAGAGCTGGGCTTGTGGCTCAAGAGCTCACCTTGGATGCTACCTAGCAACTAACAGGAATCGCAATCTCCTAAGACTTCAAACAGAAACCCAGTTGCAGCAATAAACTCTGTTTACAGCATTCTAGGGGCTGAGAAGTGTTGAGGAAAAGCGGGTTGCCAAAGAAACCAAAGAGTTATTCTTTCTTTCTTTTTCTTTTTCTTTTTTTTTTTGTTTTGTTTGTTTAACCTGAACATAAAAAATCAGCAGCACCGTATGGATTACCATCTGGCCCTGACCAGGAGGCCTCAGAAGAAGCCCAGGGGGCCGGAGCAGCCGGCTGAGCCCTCAGGGGCAGATCCTCTTCCAGCCTGAGGCCCTGGCTTGCTTGGTGCGAGAATTTTATTTTCCTCTCCCAGGTTTCCTTTTCTCACTCATTTTCTAAACTTGTCCACCTCTAATTTCTTTCTGGGCCTCGCTCAACTTGTTTCTCTTGATGGTTCACTGTCTCTCTCTTTTTTCTTTTTAGGAAACGGATCTCTTGATTTCCTCTCTTCCTTTCTACTTCCTGAGGCTGTTGACCATGACAACACAGGTGCTCATGTTTAGCAAACGTGCCCCAAAGTGCCCCTGGCCCCCAGCCCTGCAGCCCCAGAGCCCTGTGGTCCAGGTGGGAAGCGGTGGGGTGGCCCGGCATGTAAGGTGTGGCCACGGGAGAGACTACTTGGGTCCTTTTCTCTTTCACCTGACACGCTCCTCCCGAGGAACCTGTCATACCTCCATGGCTGCTCGTTCTCTCAGCAGACATTAATTGCCACACTCGTGTGTACTGAGCAGTGTTTAAGCCCCACTGCACGCCGACTCTGGGGTAGACGGCCTAGTTCGAATCCTGGCTCCATTACTGACCAGCTGTGTGACCTGGGGCAAGTTCCTTCCACTCTCTGTGCCTCAGTTTCTCCAATGACCTGAGGGTGATCACAGAAATATCTTATTCGTGAAGATTCAATGCCATCATGTTGGAAATCATTTAGTGGAGGGTCTGGCACTCGGTAAGCGGGATATAGGTGTTTGTTGGGTGAAAGTAGCCCACTGTGGGTGCTGAGAAGACAAGGATGTCCTTGGCCTCCTGGAACCTTTCTGCGGAGCCAAGAGATGAGCAACAAGCAGGAACGAATAAATGATGTCACTGCACTGTCACAAGGAACGTTAAACTGGTGACAGCGTAGAGGTGGTAAGTAGCAGGCGGGGCCTGGAGCAAGTGTCATGCTAAGTGAGGAGGCTGTGTGTGTGTGTGTGTGTGTGTGTGG